CCAATCACCGACCGGAAGGTCTGTCCGAGGAGGAGCAGTGCCCGTTTGTTGACTCCGGCCCACCTCTCCGACCGGAGCGCTCACTTCGGCCTCCAGCCGCCTTTGGACGGTCTCTCCGACCAGAAGGCCTGGCAAAACACTACCTCCAACTCTGACCCCACGACTCCGACCGGGGGATGCAAAGACCCTACTCGCTGCTCTTCTCCGACTGGCGCAACCAGAGCTGACTGGGACCAACCGACCGGAGACGCCCGTCCGGAAAGGACCAGGGAACAAACGGAGAAGAGCAGGGCAAGGCTCACAAGTCAAACCACGATACCAGGGACCGTACCCTGTACACCTGCAAGAATAGTACTCTGCAACCGCCCTGACACAAACAGTGTTGTAGGCGCCGACATTTTCCCTATAGTTTTGTGGGCGCTATTAACTCCCATATGGTAAGGCCCCCGTACTAGGAGAACATGGTAAAAGCCCTTATATGCCTCTGGGCATCGATAGTGTTGTGGGCACCGGCATTTACCGTACTAGGAGAACATGGTAAAAGCCCTTACATGCTTCTGAGCATCAATAGTATTGTAGAACCGACATCTGCCATACCCGAACAAGACGACGTGACCTCCCATGTGCATCTGACAACCAACAATATTGTGGGCGCCTACCATCATCTTGTACCCGCCGGCATGGGCAGCAAGGCTTAGAAACATACATACTTCCTCTCACTTGTAAAGCCATCCCCTTCATCTATAAAAGGGGATGCGCTCTCTCCCAAGTCAGAACAAGTTGATTCAAGTTCATACATGTGATTCCAGATTCATTAGATCGACCAAGTTCACTAGCTCACAACCACAGAACCACCAGGTTCGGACCTCAAGCACACGCTTGAACACTTAACTCATAGCGGAGCTCCTGTCGCTCTCGGTCCTTCCGACCGGAGCCGACCGGACCTCTTGTACACCACATCTTTCTCCTTCTCGTTTGTAACCCCACTGCAAACTTCGAACACCAGGGCTTAGGAATAAAGTCACCGATCGACTCAAACTGGACGTATGGCATGTTGCCTTAACCAGTATAAACCCTGTGTCATTGAGTGCTAGGCCACCTCCGATCACAACGTACGGCAAAACTATAAATATTTACTTGTTGGTCACTTTCTGCACCGATAGAAACGAACACTGGCGGCGGGGACGGGCCAGATGCGGAAAACGGATAGCTATCGCACGCTGGCCGGAGAGCAAACCGGCGCCACGGGCCGGTACGAGTTCTCTTACCGTTTCGGTATGGAAGGAATCCGGAGTAGTCCCGGATGTCCGTTCCGCTCCGACGACCGACCCATGAGGGAACAAAACCAAACGCTGGTGGCCCATGAATGGCTAGTAAAGACTGGTTGACACATCCACCAGGGCATAGATATTATCAGGTTGTCCTAGGTTAGTTAACACCCTAAGACGCCACATGTAGTCATCAGATTAGAGATGAGCGATAACATTGTGGAAGAGAGGTTAGGAGAAAAGAAGGAAAATGCAAGATTAGATGGATTTGGTTCGGTTGGGTGCATCTCCTTCGGCTTTCGCAACCTCTTTATATTTATAATAAGTTAGGCAAATCTAATCTCCTGTCCAAATCGTATTTCAAAACGACCATAAATCTGCAACCCCGCACTCTATCCGAAAAAACAAGTGGACCCAAACTATCAAATCAAATGATCTGGCATGCCAAAAGTAAGTCTGATTTTCCATATGTGTGATATGCATATCATCATACTCTCACACCCGAACTTCAAAATGGACGAGATCCATGCATTTGTTTGGATTGTCCCGACAAGGGCTTTGTCAATGTCATGGTGAACTTTAATACGTGAGTTGACCTCATTTGGTTGCTATTTCAAGTAGCCTTCCTTTATATTTTAGTAAAAAATACAGCTGCATTAGGATAAATGTGACCTACAGAATACTTAAGAGCATGTGTTGTAACGCAGAAATTCCATAAGAAAAAAAATCCCGTGTTCTAAATAAAGTCTAATTATGTTGGCTTTTGGGACGTACTATGAAAACAAAACTGAAAAAGTATAATTAGCTTTTATCTTGGGATGTATATAGAAACAAAACTAGGAAAAGCAGCCTTTTTTGTGACGTATGGAAACAATTTTTTTTAAATGGCAAAATCTTGGGACCTATATGGAAACAAAACTAGAAAGAGCAGCCTTTTGGGATGTACACATAAACTAAAAATTTTAAAAATGCAAAAGGGCAAAACATAACAAAACTAAAAAAACATATAATTAGCTTTATCTCGAGACATATATGGAAACAAACTAGAAAAAACAGCCTTTTGGGACGTCCGGAAACAATTTTTTTTTTTAAACACAAATTCTTGGGATATATATGGAAATTAGAAACAGAAGCCTTTTGGGACGTACGGAAACAAAAAATTTGAAAACGAAAAAAAAGTACAGAAACAAAAAAATTTAAAAAGGGAAAAACCTAATCATAAACGCTAGAAGGAGGCTTGAACCTGCGACCTTATGGTTAACGTCTATACTCCATACGCTCTAACCAACTGAGCTATTCCAGCAACTGGCTTTGAGTTCATATGTACATTTTATTGTTCGATATTCAACAGGACTGCTTCTTAGATGGGATTCACAAATGATTTGACACCATCTGTTTTCAAAGATGGGATCCACAGGGATAAAAAGATCAACCTTTCTCTCAACTAGTTGCCTTCGTTTGTCATTTTTTTGTTTTTCTATTCTATGGCCCTGGTTCCATTCTTCGAACCTGGATCTTCATAGGAGCACACCCACAGTGTATGGATCCTGGCTCTATAGAAGTATTTGGGTCTGTTTGATTGCTCGCATATATCTAGCCTGTTCTGCATTCATGGACCTGGCTCACCCCATCTTGGTTGAGCGCATGTATGCTCTTTTGTTTGGTTCCTTGCATGCAGCGTGCCTGAAATATTAATTATTTATGATATTATGTCATAATAAAATTAAATTTACTTTATTCAATCTTAATTTGTTTTAAAATCACTTAATATTCACTAATTATGTTTTAATGACCATTAGTTATGGTAATCCTGCAAGGCGCGAGTCTGGCTCGCTGGATAAGGCCGGGGCATTTCCCTTGGGCCTGGCTCGGAGCACTCTTTTGCATGCGCTCGGCCGGTTCCGGCGACACGCCCACACAACCAAACGAGCTGGACCTGCACGCAACGCCGGAGGATATACAGGCAACCAAACAGGCGATTAATGCATATAACGCTGTCCCCTCCGGTACCACCAGTCGCCAGTCGGTAGTCGAGTCAGACAGCAGTGTGAAGAAACAACCATCTCCGAAGCAAGAAGCTCTCACAGGGAAAAGGAAAGGAGGAAGAAAGGGGAAAAGAGAGATGAGCTACCAGAGAGTCCCTCCCGAGGAACCCAACCCTCCTCCAGGCACGCAATTTCTTCACCCCCATCTTCTCCTCGTCTCCTTTCTAGGACCATTATCCGTAACTTATTGGTATCTGATTCACTACACTGGTCTGATCCCCTCTACTATTATCCGTAACCAAATCCAGCAAGTATGGTAGTCAACTGTTCTTGTCTGTCACGGTTCATGCTCAATCCTGCAAGCCTGCTGGGAAGGATCAGCCCTGTTATTGATTATCCTCTTTCTATGGCTGCTCTGCAATCTCGCTTTCTCAAGACGTTACTGTTCTTGCGAGCTACCTACACCATGCGCGAAATCTTGTCTGAAGTGATTCTTCATGTCGTGATGCCATAGTTTATCTCACTGCAATTTCAGGGTATCCTCGTCAGGCGTACCCTTACCCACCACCACCAGATGTGTACCCTCCTCCCCCTCGGGGCCATGGACATCCACCACCTCCGCCGCCGCCGCACGGGCCTTACCCCCCACCTCAGCACCCTCCACCGGGGTACCAGGGTTACTTCAACGACCAGCAGCGCCCTTACTACCCGCCGCCGCCACCGCATGGAGAGTATCAGCAGCACCACCACCACCACAACCATGGAAACGAGGGTAGCTCAAGCTCCTCCGGGTTCCTCAAAGGATGGTAATGAAAAATATGCTGCAACTGCTTCATGTTAATTTTGCCGTCAAGCATGCATTTCATTTTCTGTGTGCTAGTGTGCTGCATGCTTATTGTTTGAGATTAGAGATTTAGAGGTCGCTGTAGATCCTGGCTTATGTTGCGGTTTTTCTCGAGTTGGATGAGAATGAGATCTTGAGCTAGGGTAATTAATATATACAAAGCTCATCAGGATCTTATTGCTTAGTCTGGACCTAAGTAATGATTAGCAGTTTCTAGTGTAACTCGGAGGAGAGCAAGATCCTTGTAACATTATTTATGTTTTGTTTGGTCCCTGAACCAATGTTGGCATGCCTATTAAAGTATTAAGTGCTAATTTAGACACTGCTGTAAGACATGCTATTTTTACTTTTGCTGTAAAGAAAAAGTCTTTTTTTTCTTCAGATAGTGGCATCAACAGCTGTTGCACGTATCTAAATGTAGTCTTTTTTTGCATGATGCAGTAAGATTCAGTGAGTCTTGGTAACCTTTAAATAAAAGCAGCAAGAAATGAGCAGTCACATATATAATATATTCAGTCTTAGTGATCTTTAACTATGAGCTGTAAGAAATAAGCACTCACATACATTCAGTCTTTAGTGACCTTTATTAATTATGGCCAGGAAGAAATAAGCAGTCACATACTCACATATGTTCTGTAGTCTTAGGGGTCCATTCAGTTATTGTAAGGCATTTTTGCTTATGTATGAATGTACATCCCTTGACAGAGTAAATTCTGGTAATGCAAATCTGGCCAGTCAGACTAGTGATGAGTTATACAGCTGTAGCACCATCATAACCAGGGTTACAAGCTAGGCACATGAACATTAACAATTCAAACATGTTATTCAGTTTTTTAAGATTCTCTCTGTTTGCTTAATCTCATGTAAATATCTGCGTCTCATTTTGGTCTGTGTGGTCTGCAGTTTGGCTGCTCTCTGCTGTTGCTGCCTGCTGGAGGAATGCTGCGGCTGCTTCTGAGATGTTAGATACTATCCGCTAATCGGATCCTATGCTATTGGTGCTAGCGTTATGGAGCATCCGAGTATTAAGATGTAGTAACTGTGCTTGTAAATAATCTGGAGCAGCAGTGTGTTCTTGAGCTTCCGGTCCAGCATTCTATTTTCAAACAGACCATAATTTGTAGTATGTGCTATGCCTTATTATCTGAAAATAAAGGATGCTATTCATGGGGTTGTAAATAAGGTATTTGCATAGCTTGATCAGAGAACGCCTGCCATACCCCTAGTCAGTGGTAGGTGTAAGTTTGCAATCTATTTTGGATACCAAATTATAAGGAAACCCTGAAACAAAAGGGTTTTCGTGGTGTAGTTGGTTATCACGTCAGTCTAACACACTGAAGGTCTCCGGTTTAAGTCCGGGCGAAAACAATTCATTTTGTTCCTACTTTTTTTTTACCGCTTTCTTCTGTGCTTTGCGCGTGCACGAGGATTTTTTTTTTTTGGCCTCGAGGCATTACACCTCCTTGTGATGTGGCAACAAAACAACAATAGGCTAAACAAGGAAAACATGCACGTCACTGTTGATGGGATTAGAGCGCTGCCGAAATGGGCCTAGCAAACGGATATCAATTACAATCTTTGGGCAACTTGAAGGTACTAGGGAAAGTAAAGAGCATCACCATGAGCTCTTTAAATAACTCTGTTGTTTCGTTTTTTGTTAAAAAGAAGAAAAAATAATCCTAACATTCTTGTATGTGAACTCAAAGATAAAAATCATCCTCTCAACTCATAAATATATGCGTGCGTTACGTGCTTGCGATCCATTTTGATGCCTCCTTCACCGTGATTTTTCTCCTCTCTCACCAAGCTAGTTTTTTGTCCTCCCATCCGTTTTTTTTAGTTTTAGAAAAGTAAATTATTGAAAACTATTGGAGAAAGAAAAACTTTCCATTTATTTTGCTCACAAATAGCTAGCAAGGTTGCCTACGCGTAGCGTGGTATATAACCTTTTTTGTTATTTTTTTACTTGAGAATATTTTTTGAAAATAGTTTTGTTTATTACTTTTATTATAATTTTCTGTCTTCATTTGCCTTCCTGCATCCATCGGTATGAACTCCTTGTAAATATCGTTGATCAAGTCCTTCAATATTGTCGTCCACCTCTTCCCTTTTTTTTCCACTTCTACTTTGTGGTCGTGCAAATTTTTTTGCCAAGGCCAAATCAAGGAGTCCTTTAGTTTTCTCTTGGTGAGTTGCATTTCTCAATAAAACTACTATCCAAGTCTCCCACTATTTAGTTCCTTGGTCCTCCTATATATTTAATTTTTCGTTTGTATTTTTTCTTCACTTGTGAATCCATAATTGCTCTTTTTTTAATCCTAAGCCATCATCGGATTTATCACAATCCTACACTTATCTTGTTGAGCGGCACATTAATTGTATCATATGTATTTGATAAAGGCGTTATTAAAAAATCATTATTATTCAAAGATCAAATAACTAGCAAACAAGTATGATGTTCCATGTGTGATTGATGTTATGAAGAATGACAAGCCAATGTATGAAAAAAGAAAAGAGATACGAACTTAAGCATATTCATGGTCTCATTTGTGTCGGCATGCATCTAAATATCATGGAGTGTGAGGGGCTCCTCTAAAAGGAGCTGGAGCTATTTTGGAGGAGCCACAATTTGTAGCTCCTCCAAAAACGGCTCTGGCTCCTATGTTTTCCTTGAAAAACGGTTTCTCCTGCAAATTGTTTGGTTGAGCTCCTTCAGAGGAGCCGGAGCCGAAGCCAGGGAATAGCCCTACCAAACAGGCCCTAAATCGATGTGATTTTTTCCAAAGAAACTGCGGCAAGAGCATGCCGGGTATGTATTAATAGAGAACAAGTTTTACAGAAAATAATTAAAAAACAAAAACAAAACCCTCATGAAGGAGGCAACAGCAAGACCACCACCACACGAAAACACAACACCAGCGAACCTCAATGCGGTGATTTGGTCATCTAGAGTAGTAGTGCTCATGAATTTCCACACCATTCTATTTTCAAACCAAGCATAATTTGTAGTAAGTGCTATGCTTTTTCCAAAAATAAAGAATATCATGGGATTGAAAATAAATTATTTGCATAGCTTGACTAGAGAACGCCTGCCATGCCGTTGACCACTGTGGTGAGTTTACAATTTCCTAGAGAAACTAATTAACGGAGTCCATAAACAACAATGTTTTTTTTGTCGGGGACCAAATACTGGGGTACCCAAAGAGGAGCTAATAACCATTAAACGTTGATGCTTCTGAATAGACAAGAACGCGACTACACCTTTTGTCCAAATGACCGAGGGTTAACTCCGTCCCGTCCGACGTCCGGGGGCTGGCTCCGCCTCGCTCGACGTTCGGGGGCTGACTCCGCCTCGCCCGACGTTCGGAGGCTGGCTCCGCCTCACCCGACGTCCGGGAGCAGACTCCGCCTCGCCCGACATCCGGGGGCAGGCTCCGCCTCGCCCGACGTCTGGGGGCAGACTCCGCCTCGCCCGACGTCTGGGGGCAGACTCCGTCTCGCCCGACGTCCGGAGGCAGACTCCATCTCGCCCGACGTCCGGGGGCAGACTCCGCCTAGCTCGACGTCTGAGCGCTGCTCCTTCATAACTACGCGCGCAGATAAGGCATGACACTCCAGTCAACCGCAATACCGAGGACCATACCCTACACACCTGCAGGAAAGTACCGACAGGATATGACAAGACGGGCGCTTTAAGACCCTTCTAGGCATGTCAGAGACCGAACAGTGTTGTGGGCTCCGATATTTGTTTTACAGGCCCTGTTCGGCTTGCTGAAACTTGGCTGAATTGGCTGAAAACACTGTTCTGGCTGAATTGTTGTGAGAAAAACACTGTTCCGGCTGAAAAAACAAGCTGAATAATGCGAATTATAAGGTAAGTCTAACGGAGCCACAGTATTGTGGGCGCCGCCATTGGCCCTCGAGCGTGGATCCTGACGGAACCATACGACAACCACTACGGTCTAAGAGGAGACTTGCATCCTCTACAGTGACGGACGTGCAGTCACTGCGTCGTCCACTCCCCGTGGGGTTGCGGATCGACACCCCAGTCCATCGTGCCGCCCGCCGCGGCGGGATGGGACGTGACCACTTGCTGATCAAGCCAGAACATGGCATCATCAACGGACAGACGCTCAGCATGGAGCTATCCCTGGCACCGTCTGCTGTGTCAGCAGGTCTGGCTCGGAGGGAAAGGAAGACCCGACATCTTTGAAGGACTTTTTTGGCCTCTGGTTTTTCTCCTTTCTCCTATCTGTTATCCCTGCTTCCCCTTTGTCTATAAAAGGGAAGGCAGGACACCCCACTAAAGGGATGAATCAATTTCCACAGACATCACACCACATAGCGAAGCAGCATCCAAGCTCTCAGCACCCATTCGACCTTTCCATTAGAGACTTGGGACATGTCCCTCTCTCGCCCGTTTATACCCCTACTACGACCTTTTTCTTTAACAAAAAAGAAAAATCCTTTTGAGTATGATCCCCTTATTTATAAAACCGGATTTTTTAACCCTTCAATTTTTAAAACCGCTTGTTTTTGCATCCTAGGTGGTTTTGTAACTTGGCACCCGAGTAAATTAGACTTGGGGAGTGTTCGGCTGGCTGGTTGAATAAGCCAAAATACTATTCCGGTTGGGTTGTTGTGAGAGAAAAATACTGTTCTGGTTGAAAGACACTGTTCGTGTGAACAGTGCCCTGCGTGAGTGGGCTGGCCAGCACCAGCCAGCCAGCCGAACACGCCCTTTATAGTTTAGGGAGGTGGATTGGACGACAACTTTTTTTTTCATTTTTTCTAGAAAGTTTATGTAATTAAAAATCTACGTCTTGTTTCCGCTTGTTTTTGCATCCTAGGTGGTTTTGTAACTTGGCACCCGAGTAAATTAGACTTGATAGTTTAGGGAGGTGGATTGGACGACAATTTTTTTCATTTTTTTCTAGAAAGTTTATGTAATTAAAAATCTACATCTTGTTTTATTATCTTATAAAATTCATAGAAACATTGTTTTACTTAAAAAAATCATGAAACTAGTTCAACAGTTTCCCTAAGATCATGCTCTATCGTATGATGCCTAAATTGGAACTATTTAAGTCTTCTATGAACTCATTTTGTTTTTTATTGCTAGTATAAGCTACATTATCTATTATAATTAGTCTACATATATTAATGATCTGATGAACTATGTAAAAGCTCAGGTGACTTTGATGACAGCAAAATTGTTGCCTAGATTGGAACTATTTGAGTCTTCTATGGACTCATTTTGCTTTTTATTGCTTGTAGAAGAAACCATATATATTATAATTAATCTACAATGATGACCAGGAGTACGTAAAAGTTCAGGTGACTTTGAAAACAACACAATTGTCATGTAACCATATCATACTTGATCCTATTTAGGCCTTGTTGGTACAAGTGGGGAGTAAGCGCTTCCCTAAGAAGTTATACAAATGGAGAAAAATAATAGCCACAATAAGCTAGTTTGATCTATGTTATGCATTTTTAGTACAAATGGGGGCTAGGGGAGAATTTTGGCCAAAAAAGGCTACAAAAAGACATGTTATTTGGCTTTGTGTTTCAGTTTTTTTAACCATATATAAGTAGCTTATAAACTGCACCAAAAAGCCCTTACTATGAACACAAGTGTCACTTGATCATGTTAGTGTCACTTGATTCTATCTATGACTGTGTTATTAGTATAGAAAGCATGGAGTGTTGTTGTCGAAGTGTCGATGACATAATCCGTATCACTCCACAGACACTTGCAATACAATACCAAAATTTAGAAAAAAACCTAAAAGCTAATAGCTAGCGAGAGTAGTCTGTGTCACTTATTAGCCAGACTTCTGTGTAGTTCGATTGGTCAAAATCAACTAGTTGTAATAGATAACACAGGAGCATATGCTAGAAAATAAACATAAAAAAGAGTTCATGGAATATTCAAATAATTTCAATCTAGGCAACCTAAGATAGAGTATGATTTTAG